CATCTGGGACCGCTTCCTCCTACGCTCCATGACCCAGGACACAGTGCGCCTTGCTCTGGAAACCCACCTGTGCTATGCGGTGATGCTGAAGTTTGATGACCCTGGAGACCGCCATCTGCACACTGTCAAACACGGCAACAACTTCCAGAATCTTGTCATCAAATGACGGTGCGGCAAATATCTAGAGGGGAAAAGGGACCCCGCTCGTTCCCACCAACGGATTAGGTAGAGCGCCGCACCAAGCCCCCAACCCTGCCTTACAGATACCAAAAACCTGAAAACAGGCAGTGAAGAGGTAAATATCAGAAAGTAAGAGCCCAAGGAAGTAATCACCGAAGACAGCTTAAAATAAACATACTTCCAAAAAGGGTTTCAACATCCGGAGGATAGTCAAACGTCTCATCTGGTACTTTCTGGACTAACACCATTCCTAAATATGTCATCTTGGCATGAATGTGGTAAATACTTCACATATAATTTGTAGACATCTTGATAAGATGACATATAATTTTTGAAAATCCACAGGGGCCCAAAAGTTGATGCCGAGAAACATGCACACCATGATCTTGTGCACTTGGCATGTTTTAAAGACATTCTTTCCAAGTGTTCTAAGCAATATACATTTGTGCTGTTATCGTTTTTGAAGATTATTGTTTATTTTTTAATTATATGCATGTGGGTGTACCTGCATGTCAATATGTGCAAGTGAATGCAGACCCAAAAAGTGTGTTAGTTTTTATCGACTTGATGCAGGGTCACCTGGGAAGAGAGAACCTCAATTGAAGAATCACCTCCATCAGACTACCCCCAACAGGTAGTTCTGCCTTGTGTAAGAAAGCAGGCTGAGCAAGCCACGGGGAGACAAGTCAGTTAGCAGCGTACTCTATGAAGTTTCTGCTTCGGGTCCTGCATCGAGCTCCTGTCCTGATTTCCCTCCATGGTCAACTGTGATCAGGACATGAGGGCCAAACAAACCCTCTCCTCCCCAAGCTGCTGTTGGTCATGCCGTTTATCACAGCAATAGAGCAAACTAGGACATGTACCCAGAAGCTGCAGTTCAAGTGATTGTGCGCTAGTGCTGGGTGCTGGCAACTGAGCCTGGGTCCTCTGCAGGAGCAGCCGGTGCTCTTAACTGCTGAGCCATCCCTCCAGCCCCGTGCCTGGTGTCTTAATATAACAACTTCTTAGGGCGTTTGTGAGCAGGGAAACAAAAAAAAAACCTCAAGGACAAAAACTCCTCGGGAGTACTCTGCTTTTATGTGAAATGCAGATGTTCACAAAACTGATTCCCAGAACTGAAGTTCAATGTCGCTCTGTTCCTGTTACTTTCTCGCTTACTATATCATAAACAATTATGACTGAAAAATACTCACCCTAAAAGAATATCCTAATTAACACCTGTATGGAAATGCCAGCCCACGCACTTGCTGACACTGATAATTTGTTATCAAACCACCTCGAGTCAAGTTGCTCCTCTGTTAGCAACTGTGGAAACTTTGTCTCCAGTTTTTCAAGGCTAAAATTAAGAAGTTACAGTTTGGGACTGAGGATGTAGGTCAGTGTTACAGGGGTCAACTAGCATGGGCAGGGACCTCACTTCTGATTGCTGACACACACAGCAATGAACATAAAGCTCTTCTGGGGGCCTGGTGGGTGTTCAGGAGTGCCAACCTGATCTTACTCTCACTGATTTCACATTTCAGAATATTTGGCAGAAAGAATGGGTGACTCTGTCGTTACACTTCCAAAGAGCCACAGTCTGTCCACAACGTGAACATTATACCTTGTATGTTCATTTAAGCCTCAAACTGAAATCAGGGTCAGACTCTTCTGGATCACGACAATACGTCACTCTCCCTGGTACGCCCACCTCAACAATTGTTCTCTTTTTCATTCTTTTTAGAGCAACTGCAAACACCACACAAATGTGACTGTGTTTCTTTTTTCTTTCATAATACAAAGAAAACAGAAATAGTTCCAAACCTTGTCAGGTGTGGTGTTGCATAACTTGAACGCCAGAACTCTGAAGGAACTTTAGAGTATATCCATGAGACAGAATGTTGAAATAAGATGCTACCAATCTACCTCTCACCCTCCAAACATTTGTCATGCAAATACTGACATGAAGTTAATATCATGAAGCACATTTCAGAAAGTTAGACAGACTGGTAATTTTATGACCGTCGGGGAAACAAACTGTAACCCCATTGTGCTACTTACATCATCCTCTTTGGTTCCGCCCCAGAAGTTGGTGCCTCCGGCATAGCTAGGGATGTTCAATACCGCTATGCCTTGTAAACTGGGTAGAGGAATATACTGCCCATCACACTGCAAGGTAAAGAAAGAGCTGGGAGGTTAGAACGCCTATAATCCCAGCACTTGGGAGTGGACACAAGAAGAGCAGAGGGGTTCATGGACATCCTCATCTACACAGCAAGTACAAGGGCAGCCTGGGCTACATGAGACCCTATGTCAAAAATAAAAAGCTTAGAGGTCAGAGAAAAAGAGCAAAGCTGTTCCTTCGGGGTTACTGGGACAGGAATGTGTCCACGGCGCTTGCTTTCATGTAAGGACACTCTTCCACAATCCACAGGGTGAGCTACAATGTAATGCGTGCACAGTACCACCTTTCTGCAGACAGACTCAAATGTCACAAAGGCCTTCACCTTCCTTTTTTCTTAATGAAACTTTTTAAAGTATTAATAACTTCAAGAAATGCTATGGAGTAGTGGTGCACACTTTTAATTCCCAACATGAGGGAGGCAGAGGCAGGCAGATCTCTGTGAGTTCAAGGCCAGCTTAGTCTATAGAGAGAGTTCCAGGACAGCCAGGATAATCACACAATGAGACCCCTGTGTCAAAATAAAAAATAAAAAACAAAAAACAAACAAACCAAGGGGGAAAAGTCTATATAAAGAAGAAATTTTCATAAAAATTGAATTAAAAATACGCTTTCCTTCGCGGTTCCTCCCAGATCAGGCAGTACTTCTCTGATCTGTGTCCTCAGATCACTTATAAGATTCTAGCCCAGCGGTTCTCACCCTTCCTACGGCTGTGACCTTCCATACAGTTAGCTCTCCATGTGTGGTGACTCCCTAACCACACAATTATTTCCTTACTACTTCATAACTGCGATCTGGCTACTGTTACAAATCGTAATGTAAATATCTGTGTTTTCCGATGGTCTCAGGCGACCCTGTGAAAGGGTTGTTCAGTCCCCAAAGAGTCACAGCCCGCAGGTTGAGAAGTGCTGTTCTAGCCTGTATGGCTGAGGCCTCTCTGGGCTTGTTTTGGGCACCCTGCTGAATTCAGGCCCTGTAAGGGCAGGCTCTGATCCGGTCCATCACAACTGGGCACTCGCGTGGGTTGGTAACTAACCAGCAACCATCTACACTGAAAGCTGAGTGGGGGTGGATGAGTGGGGGTGGATGGTTAGGTGGGTAAAGGCGCTTGCCACAAACCCTGACAACCTGAGTTCAATAGGCGTTCCGCCTGTACACCTGTACACGAAAAGAACAATTTCTTCAAGTTGTCCTCTGACCTCCCCATGTACACTTGGCACACTTGCACATGTATGTACATACACACACGTGTGCATGCACACACACACACACACATATACTCTCAAAAATTTTAATCAAAGTGGTGTTATGTAGCTAGATACAAAGGCAATGAAAAACTATGCATATTGAATCGCACTGTACACTCCCACCTTCTAATTCAACTTAATGAAAATTAAATTACCACTTAGATGGGAAACGCGGGTTATGACTGTTACAGTAATTACACATAGTAATTACTGAGTAGAAGCAAACTAGCATTTTCATCAATATTGCTCCTCAAATGTATTTTGATTTTTTTTTGTTTTATTCTATTTATTCATTCTTAAATGCAACTTAGTTAGATACTGAGATGGACACAGCAGTTAAGGAATGAAATGTCTGAAGAGACAATTATGTCTGAGCACTACACCATCTATAATGCACCAAAACAACACCGGTGCCCCATAAATCTGTGTGTCAAGAATAAATTTTATGTGTCAAGAGTATTTCATATTATTTTAAAACACCCCTTATAATGAACATAGTTAAGTATTTAAACAGAGCCATATGAGGTTGATGGGGTTAAGCCATCATTTCAAGAGAAAAGTGCTTATAGATGCCATATGTAAAATAGATACTGTGTCTCCAAATTTCGTAATTCTTACATTAAGACATATTCATCAAAAACTACATTTTAATGCCCAATCAGAACTATTGCTAATCTTTAAAACAAATGAAGACTCGGTATGAACCAGTTTTTCCAAAGTAAGCAAACTGAGATTTCATATTTAGTAAAATATGATTTTACTAAATATTGAGTAACTGAGTAAACTGAGTAAACTGAGATTTCATATTTACCCATGTGCCTATTCAGGGCCACATGTATTTCTTACAATCATTTTCTTTACCATGAGGCCATAGTGCTAACCATTAACCAGGGAGCTTATTTCTCCTTCAAAGATCCATGCTGCTTCCTAGCACTCAGGAACACACCTGGCACTTGGCTAGTACTCAATGTATACCTTGAATGGAAATTTGTATTAATCATTTAGCAACATGTTTAAAAAAAAAAAACCAGCCATCTTTACTTGAGAAAGTGCTACTTAAAGTCACATGACTAACTTAAGATATTTTAAAATGCTAATTTTGTAAACAGAAAAGAAGTCTTTTTGTCCTTTTTTGTATTTTTAAGACAGGCTCTCACTCTGTAGCCCAAACTAGCCTGGAATTGACAGCAATCCTCCTGGCTCAGCCAGCCCCACAAGTACAGGATTACAGGTGTGTGCCACCACACACAGTTTAAAAGGGCTTTTTGCTTTTTTTTTTTTTTTTAAATTAGGAGAGGGTTGGGGCTGAAGAGATAGCTCAGTCTTTAAGAGCACTGGCTGCTTCCAGAGAATTTAGATTCAACTCACAGCACCCACATGGAGCTAACAGCCATCTGTAACTCCAGTTCCAGGGAATCCGACACCCTCTTCTGGTCTCCACGGTCCCTGCATCATGCATGTAGTGCACATACACACACACACACACACACACACACACACACATGTACAACACCCACACACATAAAATGTTTTTAAAAATATGGAGATGTGCTTAAAGGTTTTACAAATGGATGTAGTTTATTTGCATCTACCAAAGATGAACATCCCCCCCACACACACTACTGAATATAACATATGTGCATTGGACATAAACCTCAGAGTTATGTGCACATCTCTATTCCACAGAGTTCATGAGAAAACATAGGCAGTACGGATTTGATAAATTAAGACTACATTCTGAAAAATGTCTTATATTCTGGAAAAGCTTCAGGAAATCTGTGAAAACTAGGAAGGTAGGAGAGTCTCTGTAGAGTGGGAAGCCCATGTCAGGGTAAGGATTACTTTGCTTAGGATTTAGTAGGTATTCAGAAATGGGGTAAGTTACAGATTTGAGTCAGAACTCAGACAAGTTAGCAGGCATAAATATTTGTTTCTCATTGCCTTTGTCATGATGAATTGCATTTTTCCACTTATTTATTTTTGTTTACATTCTCTTTGTACTTAAAGTACACAAAAGATTGTCATGTCGGTCAGAAAGCAAGGCTGCTTCTCACATGCAATAGACAAGTCACCCTTGATTATAGAATTTAAATTGTAATGAAATCTCTCATTTATACTGCCAACATTTTTCTATTATAAAGAAGCAAACACGGTATGATCCTATCCCGGAGTTCCCATCATTGGGACAGGATCATAAACCTCCCATGACGCTCTGAAAGTTGGGGTTAGATGAGCACCCGGATGACGCATGGGGTGTTTACACACGCACCTTGCTTCTCAGTTTGCGCCGTGGCTTCAGTCTCACTCAGTGAATTTGCACCAAGCACCCTTCCACCCATTTGCAGGCAGAGAAGCCACCGTCTAAGCCTTCACTGGCACAGACTCAACCACCACACATGGAGTCCATCTCCTTCCATACCAAAGAAGAAAACTTACCTGTGTGAAGTGATGAACACCAACAGGACTAGCACACAAGGCAGGCGTCTCCTGGGAGACTCTCTACCCTGCCTTTATCTCACCCACACCATCACCAAGGAGAAAAACCACCAAACAGGCCCTCCACGCTCACACTCTTAGAAAGTCTCACTTTTCCTTACTTTAAAAAAATGGCAAAGAATTCTGAGGCTTTCTATTTCACTTTTTTAATATATATATTAGCATGTTTTCATTTATCCTATTTTACTAATTTTAGTTTTCCTTTCTATCATTTAGCATATACTTTTCTTTTCTTTCTTTTTTTTTTTTTGAGACAAGGATATGTAGCCCAGGCTGACCCAGGCTCATGATTCTTCTACCTCCACATTTCAAGTGTTTTGATTATAGGTATGAGTCACCAGGCTGACCTAACACATACTTGTAAATATAAGTTCTTAACTTGAGGTTTGAAAATCTGGGTCTATGGATAGACTCAAGGAATGGAAACCTGTTCATTAAAAAAAAAAAATCATCTTTTTATGTCCACCAACTAACCTATGGACTTAGCCTCACCCTCTGTTCCAAGTGTAGGCAAGAAGCCAGATATGACCTGTGATTGCATCAACAGACATTCAGACTTTGATATCAAGGTAGAGATGTAGATAGCATTGGTCTTCATTTGTATTATACTTGTTTGAGTGTGGGGGGGAGCATGTCTGCATCACGTCACGTGTGTGTTGGACAGAAAGTGACTTACAGGAAGGAATCGGTTCTCCCCTTCTATCATGTGGGCCCCAGGGACTGAACTCGGGCCATCAGGTTTGGCAGCAGGTACCTTTACCCACGGGGCCACCTCACAGGCCTCTCATTTGTTTATCATTTGAAATATTATATTTATTAGACACCCTATTAGATTCTTCTTTGATTTGGTAATAATGAAATATATATGTTAGTTTAACAAAAATATTTAACTGATTTTCATACGACTTTCTGTTATGTCTACATATCTTATTTAATATATTAAAAACTTTATACAAGTGATCCATAGTTTCAACAGAAAGGGTCCACACCATCAGCGCCTTTTAAAATGGAAAGGAAAAAGCTCTAGGTAAGATGTCTTCTTCAAAATTTGGGCTAGCAACAAAGACCACTTCCAGTGACAAAGACCTTTCGGCCACCGAGGCTGACAAGTAGCCATTCTGTCTTTCATTTTTTGTATAGCACTCTATAAACTTACATGAGACAGTCGACACTTCGTTACAAAGCAGCCTTTGGATCAGGACATCAACTATGGGCCAAGGAAGCATCTGAGCATGTGTGAGGTTGGCAAGCCCTTGATAAGTTGTTTAGAAGGTTAGCTGAATCAAATGGTTTTGTAGTTGTTTTGTTTGTCTTTTAAATAAAGGGTCACTCTATGCAGCCATGGCTGGCTTGAAACTCCAGACCTGAATGTGGGCAAATGCCCTGTTTCCATACCAGAAGAGCTGGGGTTACAGGCATGTGACGCCAAGCCTGGCTCTAAATGTATTCTTGAGGCCTCACCTTCCCCCACTAATGTATGATCAGACTCATCTGTAGGAAGCAGAGGAAGCCTGGGTGAGTGAAACACAGAGGGAATGTATGTTGTTGACACAGGTACAGACATGTCAAGGACCCAGCAGCCTCAGGCTCAGAGGCATGGTAAAGGCTCAGAAGGCATGGCCCTCCTCAGGGGACCAAGTGCTAATAGAGACTGTATGTGCAGAAAATATCCACCATAGCTTTCTGCCCCCTGGATGTTTACGGCCTGAAGACTGTATGCTTACAGAGCATGCTCCCACCAAGGTTAGCTGAACCTGTCTCTTTGATCCAGCTGTTTACCATCAATCCCACCTCCTTGTTTATCAACATGTAATAACCATGCCTCCCTGTTCAACTCTATATACTGCCGACCTCCTGGAGTGCTGTCCTTCATTTCTTCATTCCCTCATGCCTTAATCAAGTCGGTCCCTAGAGCCATGCTGGAAATGTCACTCATCATAAATTGAGGAGCATCTTTCATACTAACTTATCAATTCACTATCTACTTCTGCAACAAGACTGTGTCAGCTACTGTGTTACACACTAAGGTTAACAACAATGACTATAGCTCTCTACCTGTTCTTAGCGAGTGTGGCCAACTGGGGACACGGAGCAAAAGTGAAGGAACACATACAATGCAGTACATACAAGGGCACCTAAATGGACTTGGGGTGGGACTGCAGAAGAGAGCCTTGGCGAAAGGTGGACCTTCCTGATTTTGTAGCCACTCACCGAGTAGTGTGTAGTGTAAATTTACAAGCAGCCAGGAATCAAAGCAGCTGATCACCTAGTGATATTTTTAGAGTGAAAAGGACCCATGTGCTTATCTTTATGACATTTAGTTGGTAGTGACTGACTCACCTGTTTAGCTTACGCCCCAGTGTTAAGACAAGGCCAAGAAAACAGTACTCAGCTTAGTTTATTTACTCAAGTATTTAAACCTTAAGAGTTATAAATTTCTCTGTATTAGTGTATTAGCATTTTAAATAGAAACTGCTCTGATCACAAAATGAAATGAGGTAGAAAATATATGCCTTGGACCAAGGATAAAAGAAATCAAGTTTACAGTAACTGATAGACTCCAAGGATTCCCAACCATCTTTTCCCTGCTGCTGCAAGAAATTAAATAACTTTCATTGTCTGTAAGTTTCTACCCCAACTAGAAAAGATTGTCAAAATCCTATTTTTAACTGACTTGTTAGAAATAATTGGCTCAAAATAAATTATATTTTAAATTAAAATGCATGTACTGCAAGTACTACTTCCAAGGACTTTATAAAACTTTGGGCATTGTAGAATTGGAACACTTAAGTGGAGAAGTCCACTATTAAAGACACTGTCCTATAAAAGTCCTTACAAGGCTTCATGTTGGTAGCCCCAGCTTCAGAAATGAATAGGGTGATTTAAGGTTAAGCCTATTGTTTATACACAGGGTTGACACTACCTTTAGAAAACATTTAATCACTAAGAAGAAATCACGTTAACTTAGCTCTACAAATTATCTACGTAGAATACACTAAATTGTCTTTGCTTCAAGATTAACTCACCTCAAGCTGAACCCTTTGTTCCAGATTCTTGTATGATCTCTGTAATAACTCCCGGGTCCCAAGGACTCCATACCACATCAAGTTTTTAGTTCGGCTTCTAAAAAACAAATATTGTTGTGCAATCTCAGGAAATGTTATTTATTTACTCCTTAAAGCAAGAGAGACAATAAATGAAATTAAAGTAAAATTACCTTCACGTAACAACATTAGACCCATTATTGAAATTACCTGCATTTTTCAGGGTGTTCTTCTCTCTTATTATTAAATTCTAATGAAATTTTTGCATCTAATCCAATCCCAAAGTAATTGTTCATGACACATTTTTCTGAGTATCCATCTCTAGGACAATAAGGGAAGGTAGATAAAAGTCAATTTCAGGTTCATTACAACATGAACAGTTTATTGACAGTCACACTTAAAACCCCTCAAGTGCCCATTCTTTCTAGAGGACTGGAAAGCACAGGTCATTCCCCACATACATGCCGTCTGCACAGTCACAGGGCATGTGCATAATTTGTGGTCTGAGGCAAAGCAAACGGAGACAGTTACTGTCTTGTTTTCTATTTAAACTGACGGCCGTAAGCCTTCTGTCTCCACCTAAGGCGCTGACCACACAGGCCCACTGATGCCGGCCTCTATGGGAGGCCTCCGAAGTCAAGTGCCATAGTCCTCTTTCTTAATCGTGAGAAAGTCTCTGCCTCTCAACCCTTAAAAATGGACCAAGAGTAAGGGAAAACTTCTGATTTCAATACATTATTATAAATATTGTGAATACTTGATTTTATTTTTATAATTACGTTTTTATAGGGTGGGTGGGTGTTTCACACACGCCATGGTGTATATATGGAGACCGGAAGACAATTCGAAGGAGTCAGTTCTCTCCTTCCACCCCTGATAAAGGTGCTTGTCACCGAACTTGACAACCTGAGTTCATTCTGTGGGATCCACATGATAGAAGGAAGAAACCGATGTCTGCAAGATGTCCTCTGACCTCCAGATACATGTCATGATATGTGTGTGTACACACACACTCTCTTAAATTTAGCTAGATCAAAAAAAAAAAAAAAAAAAGCTTAAAAAAAAAAAAAGCCTTGGTGGTGGTGGCACACACCTTTAATCCCAGAGCTTGGAGGCAGAGGCAGGCAGATCTCTGAGTTTGAGGCCAGCCTGGTCCATAGAGTGAGCTTCAGGATAGCCAGGGCTACACAGTAAAACCCTCTCTCAAAAACAAAAACAAAACAAACAAAATAAAAGGAAAGTATTTCCAAAAATAAAATAAAATATACTAAATGCTGCCCTTGAGAAAGGCCAATACAAAAATAAGATTTAAAAAGAAAAAGCATCTTTGAGCTAGGGAGATAACTCAATGGGTAAAGCGTGTGTGGTGCAAGAGCAGGAAGACAGAGTTCAGACTGCCAGCACCCAGGGAAATGCCCAGTGGTCAGGGCAGCCAGTCTGCAATCTTAGGACACAGGAGGAAGAGACAGGGCTACTGCAAGCTGCCTACATAGTCTCGACTAGCCGAGCTGACAGGCCAGCTCTGGGTTCACATGAGAGACCCTGCCTCAACACACAAGAGGGGAAGTGGGGGAGGAAGACTCGCAACTTCAACTCTGGCCTCCACACATGTACATGCAAGGCACCCATACACACGTGGATGGACACACATACGCATGCATTCACAAAGCAAATTTTAAAATGCGAACAAGAGTGAGTCTATCTCATGCTGCCAAACGTGTTTTTAGGGAGTCTAGAAAGATGAGATCTATGTGGGTTAGAAGCTGGAAACCAGGAAACCGTTCAGCGGGATGTGGAAAGATCGGGATTAGTGGACTGAGACGAGAAGACGGCAGGGGAAGATGTAGATACAGGTGCAAACCAGCACTAAGGTAGACCTTCCGGGAGAGAGAGAGGCAAGGAGCACCGCACCAGAGAGTGGCCGCTGAACAGCCGGTGAGAAAGGGACCTGTCTCAGGGACGGACCACAGCACTGGGCATTATCAACTTCGGAGCATGCTCACCGCCCTTTCTGCAGATGGAACCCAACACTTTGGGACACATGCAAAACGTCAGGATTTGAACCAAACGGACAAAAAAAAAAAAAAAAAGGTTGAAGCGAAATAAGTACACAAGTGTTTCTTACAGTGAATCAGGATCTGGGTCAATAAACGGAGTCGCACCAAAAGGGTCGATGTTTGCCAGCAACATTTTGTTGATGATAGAACTCCCAGCGATTGAGGCGGCAAGTCCTGCTCTTAAACCTGACAGACATACATCAGGATCACATTAAGAGAAAGGAGAGACAAATCCGGGCCACTCAGAGCCTGGCCTTGTCCCAAACATCTTGCTACCAAAGCCTGTGACCACTCAGTAGCCAAAACTCAAAGGATGATACTTAGAAGTGTGAAGCACTTCAATATTTTCAAATGTTTGTATGTTGTAATAAAGAATTACGGAGAGAATAACATGAAAAGCAGCATCTGTGATATTTTCTCACTTACCATTCAGCAATTCTACAGTTTGTAGTTTTCAGTGTTTCAATTCCTGGGTTAAATTCATTCCTAAGTGTTTTGCCATTTTTGATGCAATTTCAAGTAGAACTTTATTCTTAATTTCATGGTCAGGTGGTTCAGTTGTGGTGTATAGAAATATGATGACAAAAATGTGATTTCTGTGTATTGATCATTTACTCTGTAATCTTAGCATACTCCCTTATTAGCTTTAGTGGTTTAGCTTACTTGTGTGCATGTATGAGTGTGAGTGCACATGTGTGCGTCCCTTGGGGTTTTCTACATGCAAGAGAAGTCTGGGAAGGGACACAGTTGTCTTTCCTTTTCCTTTTCTCTTACCCCTTTCTCTCCCTGCCCCACCCTTTTCCCTTTCCTTTCCTTTCCTTTCCTTTCTTTTTCTGGCTTTCTGAGACAGGGTCTCTCTATGTAGCCCAGCCTGTCCTAAAGCTTGCTCTGTAGACCCCTGTCCTGGAACTTACCCAGATCTGCCTGCCTCTGCCTCCCAAGGCATGCGCTACTGCCTGGCTTTTCCTTCTAGGATTTTATTTTATTTCTATTTCTTCTTGAATGGGATTTCTAGTTCAAGTGTTTTTACACATTTGCCTGTTTCCTCTGGGTTCATAGTACCATCATAATCATGTATGTTTCTCCAAGCTCCATAATGATGCCTCACGATTTCCTCATTCCTGATTTTAGGGATCTGAATCCTCACTCAACGTCTTTTCATTTTCTCTACTGTTTTTCTTTTTAATTCTCTTATTTATGTCCACCCTCATGTTTATTATTCTCTTTCCTCTATTAGCTGTCATTAGTCTGCTCCCGTCCTGGTTGATCTTGGTGGGTGTCAAGGGACTGACCCAATGATGGATGAACATTTTCAAAGCAGCATTTACAGTTACACACTCCGCTTTAAGCACATTTCAGCTGCATCAGCTAAGTTTTAGGACAGTGCATTTCTGTTCTCACTCATCCCAAAGTATTTTCTCTACTTTACTAATTATTATTTTCTCTAATGTATTCCCCTCCATGTTTCCACAGTTGTGTACCTGCCCAAACCTCATTCTCTCATCGGCTCTTCCATTCCATTGTACTGAAAGGAAACAGTCATGAGATTTTGATCCTTTTGATTTTATTTAAGAATCGTTTGTGACCAAATTGGCTATGGTCTGTTCTAGAGAATGTTCTACATGCTCTTGAGAAGAGTGTGTGTTCTCCTGTGGGTGGGGGTTCCTTAGATGTTGACTGGGTCCTACTGTTTCATGTAAACCTCCAGGGACTCTATTTCCCTGATCGACTGGTTGTTACATCACTATCGAAAGGGAGGAACAAATGTCTCCAACCATTATTTGAATTATAGAGCTCATTTTTAAAAAGAAATTCCACGAGAAGCTACTTTTCAGGCTCTAAACGGACTCCAGCATACTATGAATGAAGACCGAAGGAATTTTGAAGCCACCATAAATTCAGGAAGCTCCGAGACACGTGTTTTTCTCCTCCAACTCCTCCCTGTAGTCTCTGGTGTCGACTTGTATTAGTCTAATCCAAGGGAAACTGGTTCCATCAAGGCTGGAAGAGATACTAGGCTAAAAATCTCTGCCGAGAAAGCAGTGGCTTAAAAGAACAAGGAAAGCTGTAGAGATGCTTGGAGGTGACAGACAGGAGGTGAGCTCCTGAGCTCCAACCTAGAATACGTTTATCACTAAGAACGCCTTTCTACGGCTCATGAATAAGAGGAGTTACATTATTTTCAGAGACATATTAAAACATATACCATGTCACACGACTGTACTACCTGGGCAGATAATTCTGGTGTTGAGCACAGGGAGATTTTCTTTGGTGGTGGCCACAGCTGAACCAGTGACAGAATCAGTTTGGAAATTGCCATGACTTGCCTGGGCGTCAGGAGACTGAGATGTGGATTTGGCTGTTGACAAAAAGTCCAGATTAAAAATGGCAAATGAAACCAGTATAAAATTAAACAAGCTCCTATAAACTCAAAACACACAACAACAACCAAATGCCTATTTAAATCAATGAATGGATCTGAAGATATTAATTATATTTACCTACATTTATCATTTTATTTTCATTTTCTTGGGATATTTGGAGAGTATCTACCAAGGGAGATACATTGATCTCTGGCTTTGAATAGGTGCTATCAGAACATAGATATCTACCATCATTAAAAGTCAATAATATAAAAAAAGTCAATAATATGCTTAATTTGAATGTGATCAACCCAAACTTGGTAAGTAGAAAACCTAAAGCCTGAAAACCATTATGATGCATATTACCAACATTACCTGTTAATCTTGAATATTGGGTAAATGATCATATTTAAGTGATATGACTCACAGTAGAATATATGAATTCGTGTGAAACAAGGGTTAATATAGCCTTCAATTAGTGGAGACACTTGGCGGGGACTCAGATCAGTGCATCATTTAACCCTCACCAGAGAAGCTTCTTCTTGCAGTATATGGCAATTGACACAGAGACCCACAACTACACAACGTATGGAGAGTGAAAGACTGTGGAACATTCAGCCCTAAATGAGATGTCTTTATCAAACTCCTCCTCTGAAGACTCAGGGAACTATGCAGAAGAGGAGGCAGAAAGATTCTAAGAGCCAGTGGTGGTGAGTGGCTCCAAAGAAAAAGTGTGTTCCAGACACACGAAGGCTGATTACACATGAACTCCAAAGGAGACATCATCTACAAGACTACCATGAGTTCAAATCAGGCAAAATACCAGGATGAAGAAGAGGAAGAAGAAACAAAGTCCAACTTCTAACCAAGAATTTGTTTGCAATGATACCTGGTAGGAAAGAGGAAAAAACAGTCTTCTCCAGTGGAATGTCACTGGGTGTATCAGCCACACTCCAGGGCAGACCCAGGCATAGGCGGTCAACACAAAATAGAACCTCGTGTGTGTGTGTGTGTGTGTGTGTGTGTGTGTGTGTGTGTGTGTGTGTGTGTGTGTGTGTGCTTTTTGTATTTTGTTCGTTTTATTGGTTTGCTTGTTTTGATCTTTGTTTTTATTAGGTGAGGGAGAGAGAGGAAAAGAGGGAGATCATGAAATCAGGTTTGCAGGGAGCTGGGGGGATCTGGGAGGACCTGGAGGGGGAAAGAATATGATCAAAATATGTTGTTTGTAAAAATACTTTTAAGAAAAAAAAAGAAAAAATAATATATGGAAAGATATCATTTATCTTCCAATAAAACCAAAGTATTTTACCTGCCATCATTTATTCAAATGATGATAAGCTCCAAATGGTTTTGTTGTATTCTTGTAAAAGCTCAATACATTTGCAATATTCAAGAAAATAACAAAAAGGAAGATTTAATTCTAATAACATGAAGCAAGTTAGTAATGGAAAAACAGTACCTTAATCTTATCAAAGGCCATTAATAAGTATTAAAAAAAAACCAACCAGTAGTCATTAAATTCAATTTAAAAGTACTCTAAAACTTAATTATCTTCACTCTGCCTCAGACTAATTACAAACTTAACTATATTAATCTTGCATGCTATTTTCTCTGATCAAACACTGTCCAGCTGCACAAAACTAATAGATGTCACTCTGATGTGTGTGACAGACACCACTTCTGGGGTGAATCTCTGACACAAAGCAACTTTTGATGTTTACCTCTGCTGAAAAGCAGAAAATGTACTAACGTCTAAGATCGATGCTCCACTGCAGGTAATTCAATCAGTCCTTCATGTTTCTTCCTAAATAAAGCATTACCTTGAACACATTAATATACTGTGTTCCTCACATCTAAGACATTAATTGCATAATTTAATAATGACACAATATAGATGATTCAATAAAACCACTGAACACAGGAACACTTCTATTGCCAATGATTTTCAGCAAGTTGGATTACAGCCCAAATTGGCATCAAATGTGGCAACGTTAAAGACTTTCCTAAATCTATGCTTGCCTCTCTACAGAGCACTCTAACAGTATCTTTCAGTTTCCTTTCTAACTAATGGGAATGTTGAGTTGATGAGAGTATGGTAAAGCGGAATGCTGGCTGGTTGGAAGCCATGGGCAATGAGCGTATACATATGGAAGAGAGCAGATGTATGGACAACCCACTGTAGTAAGTAGATTTTAACAGATAACAATTTCAAAGGCCTAACTACCAACTTCACAGATAAAGTACATTGGAGATGACAGAAGAATTAAAAGATTTTAACAGGTGGAAGTGATAGATCCAAATAAAAAAGATGAAAGGTTATAAAGATGAGGGAAAGTTATCGCAATTAAATCCGAAAAGAAATCCAGCAGTTTGGGCAACAACAAAATGTGCTGGATGAGCAGCATGAATATCTATGTTCTTTCCTTACTGGAGTTTGTTCAAAACATTTTAAGACAGACAACACTCACCAAATGGATGCAGCCAGAAAAACAAACAACTCAAAAATCATCAAATTATAGGCAGTGGAGGAAGCTATGAGACACCAGATAAGGAGGAAGACATCAGATGTAGCAAGGAAACATGATGCTGTAAAGGCCACTCACAGCTTGATTTAAGGAGTGCTATAGAGAAGGAGGGAGATACAGCCACAGAAGACAGAGTCATCTCGGCACTGGTGAAATACCATGTGAGGAATTAGGCCAATCATAAAAAATACCATACAAATACCAACATCATAATACATAAATATCCTCTATCAGGGGTTGAATTTTAAGGCCGAAAAATGAAGTTCATCATAAAGAACAGTCTAACAAGTCTACTTCTAACAATTACAGCCAAACTTGAGAAAGAAATGTACTAAAACTGAATGGCCTGAGAGAATCAATGGCCATTTGTGAAGAAGAGAATTTCAGAACATGCCTGTAGATATATATGCCGAATATCCAACTTTACAGAAACTAATTTTGATTTTCTTAAGAATTTTAAGTACAGGAGCCGGGCGTGGTGGCGCACGCCTTTAATCCCAGCACTTGGGAGGCAGAGGCAGGCGGATCTTTGTGAGTTCGAGGCCAGCCTGGGCTACCAAGTGAGCTCCAGGAAAGGCGCAAAGCTACACAGAGAAACCCTGTCTCGAAAAAACCAAAAAAAAAAAAAAAAAAAAAAAAAAAGAATTTTAAGTACAACCAAATTTTTCTCAGCCAATAATAATAATATATAACAATGGTGATAGACAGCAAACATTTATAAAATACTGCATACCAGACTCTATTCTGGGAACTTTGTTACTGTAAATTAGTCAGCCTTTACTACAATCCAATTAAAATGGCATATTATTATCTTCATTTTTACAGATAGGAAAACTTCAGAAAAGCTTAAAAACAAATCAGTCCAAGTTTGAAAAGAAAATCTTAATAAACTTTAAGAAGGAACAGTTCTGATACATTATGCTGACATCTCTCGAGTATATTATAATTATATTCATACTACTACATATCATTAATATTATACCTTGTGCTTATATTATCCAATGGTAATTAGAAACTTTTCACTTATATGAAATACTAAAATGACAAATTCATTTCCTATTGAAAGCCAAAAGGCAGGGAAACAGTTAACAGTCTTCAAGCAATAATATAATAATTTCTAGGCAAAAATAATTTGGTAAAGAAAGGGTTGTAATTAGAAATCTTGTGACTTTTAAAGCTTAATTTAACAACAAGCATTGGCCAAACAGCAAAATATAAGGGACTGTTGAATCCCTCAAGAGCCAAACTTGGTGCGTGTGAGGCCAGCAATTTCCCAAGGAATCAGAATGCTATGTTAGGCTAAAACTGGGAAATGTGGATGTTTCCTTTAAGGTACTTAATCATATTAATCCCATAATGCTTAGTTTATTGTTAGTGTCTAGACTACACACGAGAGATGAGAATACTTGACAAGCCAACCTAATCTGTTAACATTATTATTTTAGTGCTCATCAATAACATAAACTTCCCCAAGCCTTTGGAAGAATAAAAATTCAACAGTTCGTCTCAAACAGAAAAACTAAGTGCAAAGTTAGTTGTGACCGATTGTGATACCATCACAATTTCCTTACCTGCTGACGAATCTTTCGTATCATCGTCCTTAGATTCATCTGCTTCTGGGGTATCATAGTCACAAGGCTGACTAATCGATTCACAGGACTGAACTGTCTGTTCATCTATAACTTTAAGCAGTAAGAAGGGAAACAGATTTGCATTAGTGAAAAGAAAATGAACTCATTAAGATATGGCTAGGAAAGAAAAGCTGAACTGGGTGTCAAAAGCAATTCTACATTCACAAAGAAATGTCCTTCAGTAACAATATTGGGAGTGATGTCTGTGGACGCTGGAGAGTACAAAAATCAAACACATTTGTTAAGATTATATATGTACCAGAATAAAATTACATACCAAAAGCAAAATACAAAGCTCGATTACAAGTTATACACCTGGAAGGTGATTCCCAACATTATTCGTATTGCAGTCAGCTTTTATCTAGGACTAAAATTCTAAGCAGCATATACATTGTACTCATATAAAAAATGAAATCTAGGTGCCGGATACACGGCTCGGTGGCTAAGAGCACACACTGCTCTTGCAGGGACTCAGGTTTGGTTCTCAGCATCCACACCGGGCAGCTCACAACTGCCTGTTAACTCCATCTCTGAGGGTCCAGTGCCTCCTTGGGCACCTGTACCGCCATACACATATCCACACACAGACACACACGCATACACAGAATTAAAAATAAAAAGCAAACCTTTGAAAACACAGATAAAGATTTATATACTCTTAAACATCAACCATGTTAGGAAACCAATGTTAAGAACTTATTTTCTCTATTATAGGCAGCTACGGGGTTGATTTTAAGAATTAAAGACAAGCCCAAGAAGTAAAAAGATTGAAGTTTTTAGACTTGTTCTATCAGCGCTTTTTGTACTTAAGCTGGGACAGAAATATTGCAACTTAATGTACTTCTGCAATCTTATTTTGTGCGTCATTGCTATGCTGACTCTCACTACTGAAAGCACAGATAGGACTAAATTCAAATCTCCCTCTACTGAACATATTGTCTTCTACCATGCCACGAGACTTTTTTTTTTAAAGTGTACTGAATCCGAGCATTACGCACACTGGTCACGCTTGCAGCAGGGATGTTGCCGGTCTCTTTAAAGCTAATTTTGTGAGTGTGTACCTTTTCCAGCCTCTTCAATGACTTGCCTCACCGCTTTCTTTAGACTGTTGGCCCGCAGCATTATCTCCCTGGGCTTCGCGGCTTTCTGGGAGGAGGGTTTGGCAATGTCATTCACGAGCTGGTCCTTGCTTTCACCCAAGGACTCTTCACTGGACGACTCCACAACATCTTCTTCGGGAATTGGAGGGCCAACCCCTGGGGGAGCTCGACTGGACTGAGCGTCTGCATGCAGGGCTTGGAGCAGCTGTTCGAGCTTCTCATTGAGGACTGAGCACTAAGAAAACCAATAAAACATCAATGACGGTGACAAGAAAATAAACAAACAGCAACAACAGTGATGAGGAAGAAATTCAAGTCTATTAGATTGGAAGACACAATGTTAAGATCGGTTTTTATGTAAGACAAATCTTGAATGATTCTAATCACTGGAGATGAAAACACCAACATTCAGGTAGCTATGGTCTTTTCTTCTGTAGATGTTTTGGGTGGAGAATACATCCACTTTCAATTTAGTAACAACAGAAAATTATCTTAATAAAATAAATAAAAAAAAGAGTGGCTTTTAATGTACAGAAATGCTTACTAATAACTGACAGATAAAGCCCAACTGTATAAAAGACTGAAAATGTTTACAACTCTGGCATCTATCTGTTGATTCATACTTCTGGATCACTCAAATTCTACCTCAGGGTTTAAAGTCTTTCTAGAACATTTTTTTTTACATATATGAGAGTTTTGCCTTCATGAATGTATGTATGCACACCATGCATGTGCCTGGTACCCACAGGAGCCAGAAGAGGTTCTCAGCTCCCTCGGGACAGGTGTTATGGATTGTTGTGTGCTGCCACATGGGTGCTTAAAACCAAACCTGGGTCCTCAGTGTTCATAACCACTGAGCCATCTCTCCAGCCCTTACAAGTTCAAATTTTTACAACCTATGTCAAACTGCTGTTCTTTCTTAGAATGCAACCGATGCTAAGTCGAAGAGATATAGTACACAAAACACCAGGCTTTCTTTTGAAGTCACGGACACAGGGCACCCTTAACATCGTGAGTTGCAGGCATGGCTGAGCTGAAGACCTGTGAGTGTCAACAGCCTTGCGGTGACCAAGAAAGAGCAAGAAGGAAAACGCACAGGACGAGGGTAAAGGGAGTGTGTGCAAAAGGAAAAACAGGCACAGAGCCCCTCTGCTTTTCTTCTTTTTTCTACACGTGAAGAAACATTTGGGATCAAGACTGTTAATGCTATCACCAATGCACCTTCAATCGCCACAGAATTCTTGGTCTCGCCCCTCTCCATTTCTCTGTCTTTGATGAAAAGCCAAGACAGGGTCACCGGGGAAGGACTTCAGAGCCAAACACGTGGCTAAGAGAGAGTTCCTGCCTTCTGAAACGCCCCATAGGGGAGGAAATGACTGGAATACCTCAATGTTTAGTTCAGTGATGTTGTCCTTGGTACACAAGAAGGCTACTGGATTTTATGTGTTAGTTTTGTATCCTGCCACTTTGCTGGAAGTTTTCATCAGCTCCGAGAGCATTTTGGTAGCATCCTTAGGGTCTCGTGTAAAGAATCATAACATCAGGCTGGAGAGGTGGCTAAGAGCACTGGCTGCTCCCCGAGAGGTCCTGAGTGGTGGCTCACAACCATCTATAGTGGGATCTGATGCCCTCTGGCATGCTGGCATAGATGCAAATAGAGCACTCATCATACATAAAACATATAAATAAATATATTTAAAAAAAAGAATCATAACATCTGAAAATTGGGACTGTGAATGGTCAGCGGTGGGTGGGACATTAACAGTGATCCCACCACAACCCCCAAGGCTCAGGGAACATGGCCAACGAAGAGGGTAAAAAGAATCTAAGAGCTGGAGGACAGGGAGAAGCAGTATGAAACGGTGGCCTCTAGACGTGACATGGCTGTCACACACATGAGCTCAGCAGCTGTGGTTACCAACACGAGACCTGCATAAGACCAACAGTTACATGTCCCAGCCTTGAGGAGAAAAGGGGTTCCAGAGGCCTCAGCCCCAGGCTAAGGAGCTATAGGAAGCTGATGACTTCTTGGGGAAGGACGGTCAGTTTTCTTTAGGACTGTGGCCACTGATGAATTTCCCCAGTCTCCAGAGGATGACCTCACATCCATGTCCACATGAGCAGCACTAACTGAACTCAGTGGGATTTAAAAAAAAAAAATTATGAAAGGAAGAAAGGAGATATGGTGGGGGTGGGGGCCCGAGAGGAGTAAGGGGTGAATATAATCAAGATACAGTGTGTATGGTTATGAAAATTTTCAGACTAAATAAAAATTTAAAGGAAGAAGGTTTATTTGCATTTTCTTTTTCTTCCACTCAATCCACTAGCTACAGCATGAACTTTAGGGGGAGAAATCCTTCCCAAGCCCAAACTATCCAAGCCTTACGTCAAAAGGCCCTCTCGTGAACTTTAAAAGATGCTGGTTGTAAAAGCAGTATGCTATTCTTAGCATCAGAAAGCTCATAAAGGGAAGGAAAAAATCTGTAAAGGCAAGAAATAAATAGAACTTGGAAGGAGACGAGGACTGCCCTCTAGAGAATGGGGGACTCATGCTGGGAGGGAACTGGATCACCAGATTTTGTCTGACCTGGAAAGCCAGGCCTCACCCAACTGGGACCACGGGCCCCATGGCATCCTCCTGTCAGGTTGACTGCATGTCCCTTTACGATGTCAATCACTGAGAAAGGGATCTGAATCATAAAATTTGATTGGCTGAATACTCTCCAACAATGCAGCTTTTGTGCACATTAGAGGATAACCATAAACTAGAAGGTGTTTTTTATAAATCCTCATATATAATTTTAAAAAATCATTTTAGATATTTTGGCAAAAGCACACCGAGGCAGTCTTTAAAAATACAACACAGCCGGATGGTGGTGGGTATGCCTTTAATCCCAGCACTCGGGAGGCAGAGACAGGCGGATCTCTGTGAGTTTGAGGCCAGCCTGGTCTACAGAGCAAGATCCAAGACAGGCAGCAAAACTACACAGAGAAACCCTGTCTTGAAAAAACAAAAAAAACAAAAAACAAAAAAAACAAAAACAAACAAACAAACAAACAAAAAAACCACAACGCACTGCTCATAATGTCAATAAACACCTCCCATGCCCCTGGTGTGTCCCCTTACTTTACTGGCCACGGCTTCAGCTACTACTGTATTTTCCAGTGTTTTCTCCTGTGCCTTCTCCACTTTGGCAACGAAGTCCCTCACGGTTTCACAGAGTATCCTTTGAGGAAGAGAGATCGCACAGTTTAGTCTGTAGGCTCTCGCGTACAAACGCATTTATAAGTAAGTACAAGTAGGCAAACTCAAAATACCCAGGATCATTTTTACATAAGACTACACACTTCCATCTGTGTTAGTATATCTTAGATACACTTAGGACTTCCTAACTGAAAAATGTATGCACGAATAAGCCTCGTTCTCCATACTTATTATAGTAAGATTGCAGTGAACTAGTCTTGAATGCTTAAATAAGCCTTAGAGATAATACGTTCAGATCCCCTAGAAATAATGTAGTATCTTCCACAGCTTGGACAATTTTCTTCATGTATAACAAACAGACCCAAGTTCTCCATCATCTACAGGATCTACTGGACCTACTAGTCAGCAAGTGGACAGCTTGGTAGCACATTGCTCCTAAAGAGGAAAAGAGGTTGTGTATTGTTACCAACCAATCAGACACTTGAATTGAGTTATGTTCTCTGTAAACCCATCCATTTTTCCCCCTTAAGATAACCAATACAATAATACACAAGCCTAATCCAATTGAGATCTCATTAGTGTCAGCAATATATGGTTTACTTGTTTGTTTCTTTTAATTACATTTGGTGTCTTTGCAAAAGAAATGAAATAAAAGAAAGAATAATTCATAACGTATCTGCCTCTCAAAAAGTTGTGTTAAAAAAAAAAATGCCCCGCAAAATGGCATATGAATAGATTGGTTTTGGCAACATGTGTACATTGACAGAAACTTCTTGAATGTAAAGCATTTCTATCACTGATATAGATTAAAGAATTTAAAGAAAAAGAGAAAGATGTTCCAGTAAGGTTTTATTTCTATTAAGTTTACAACTTTCTCTGGTAAGCAATGGCAGCTTCCAGACATTTCAATGTTATGAAAATTGAACAATGCAATAGATACATGGAACATGTATATGCACCCACATAGACTCCAAACTATTGAATTGGTCACCCAGGTGTATTATTCCTAACAATTTTTGTTTTATTTGTTGCTTAGGGGTTAGATCCACCAGCCATCTAGCCTTCAACCTGCTTCCTGATGTCAGGGATAGAACCCAGGTCTCCCACATGCTAAGCAAACACTTAACCACTGAGCTATAGGCACAATTCTCTTGGCATTGGCTGACATTTTAAATTCTAGTTTCTGTTCTCTATTTTTCTTTAAGATTAAAAAAAAATCTGAGTATGTGTGTTTGCATGTCATACATGTACATGTACAATATTCATGCAGTGTCCAGAGGAGTCAATAAGAAGGTGTCAGGCCCCCTGGAACCGGAGTTATAAATGGTTGTGAGCTGTGTTTTAGGATCTGGGAACCAAACTAGAGTCCTTAGCAGGAACAACAGGCTCTTACATGCTGAGCCATTGTGCCAGGCCCTTAAATCCCAATATTTAAGGGAATTAAGAGAATCTAGCTTACCATTTATTAGAGACTCATTCATGTACTTCACATATAATTTTTACTCTTTGTTAATATATACTTTTATAGAATTTCTTCAAATATGATATCAGGCTACCATGAAATTTCTTGTATGAAGCCTGAAGGAAAAACCTGATCCTATATACACCTAAAGGGCTGATGGACTGATGTGCAATTTAGGAGAGTGCTTGATGCTTAAACTGTGGGACTAATCAGAAGAAATGTCCCGCCTCGTGCTCCTGTGGTTCCATATTACAAAAGGAATAAAGGCTATTCTAGAGGAATGAATTCATCTAAATAGTGAATTTATAGCGTTTCCATGGTGAAATCTATACTTAAGGTGGGCCAGGTGGTATAGGTCTGTGCTCTTATCTACTTCATGCAGGAGGATTCCAGTTTCAGAGACTGTCTGGAACACAGTGAGTTCGAGGCGGTGTCCTTTTAAGTTTTCTACAGACAGACTTTTGATCACAGAGCGAGGCCAGCAAAGCCAAATACCTACTGGGGCCCAGGAAATAGTAGGCGGGTTGAACCCAGGACAAGAGAGGCGCTCCAAGTGTTGAGGCCTGAGCAATCTGAAAAATGTATGCCTTTCTGTAAGCAACACCGTTCATTAAATCAACACAAACCAGCCAGTGGCTCTGCTCACTGTGCTACCCATCTCTCTCCATCAGCCACAGTGGTCCATTGCCTGAGGCCATTTCTCTTTCCTATAGTTCAGTGCAGTTTCCTGTTCCGTGGGGACACATCCTCAAAGGCAGTCGTTAGTACATTTACACTTCTGTTTGAAGGAAACTTGTCCTGTCCCATCCCCTCCCCATCCCCCACCCTCCAGCTGAGGACCGAACCCAGGGCCTTGCGCTTGCTAGGCAAGTGCTCTACCACTGAGCTAAATCCCCAACCGGAAACTTGTCCATAATGACTTTCTTTATGTTTCTTCTTCATTACAAATTAAGTATGTGATAAACTGAAATTTGCATTTTCCTTCTCGGGTTTTCTACTTTCCATCAGTTCTTCTACCCCATCCTTTCCCTCGGTTCCTGCATAATGGCAATATAGTCACTGAGCAGAATCTTAAAAAGCATCCCCTCACCTATGAGCTGAAAATCTCAGCTGGCACCACCCCCTTCCCCTAGCTGACCTCGATGAGAGCATAGGATACTTCAAAAGTAAATTTGAAATTCCACATTTGGGATAACAATGTAACAGAGCTCCAGCTCCATGTACGAAATTAACTAAAATCTGATAACTTTGAACTAAAATATAATTATGTAATTTAAATATGTTGAGAAATGTCATTTTGAAGAATCTTATTATTTTCCTTTTAGTGATATAAACAGTTGCTAAATAGAAATGTGTGTACAGGGAATAATAAATAAATTATAATGATATAGGATTTCCATGTTATAATTAATCATTCCAAATAGACATTTAAACTCAAAATACTTTTTTACAGTTTCCTGACAAAAGCCTTTCAAAATAAGCAGCAAAATCTTCTCCCTCTGAATAGACTCCATGCAGATGCTAATGTGACTAAAGAAACCAAGTTCAAGTTGCTCTATTTAATTCCTTAAGTCACTTCACACACATTACTAAGGAAAATCAGGAGAGATGGTGTCATGGCCAGGAAACACCCTTCCCTTTCATGTTCTCACACAACTAAGCATTTCTTCACTTCAGCCCCACAACTCACTTGGCAGACGATATGACCACTGCATGTTCATCGGAATTGAGGATTTTCGTGAGGTGATTTGCAACAGAGTCTTCATAAATTGTCATCTGGAAAAGAAAACCCTATACTATATGATTGTCGTTGGTGTCGACACAACCCAGTTACGACTGCTTCAGAAAAACAAGACTGGGGGGCAAAGGCTGTCATGAGAAGTGTGGGGGGGCAAAGGCTGTCATGAGAAGTGTGGGGGCAAAGGCTGTCATGAGAAGTGTGGGGGTCATTATTCAAAAAGTGTGTGTGGGGGGGGTCATAATGCAAAAGAAAACTTCCTCTGACTCCCATTTTCAGGTTCTGGAGTGCTTTACATTTTTAGAAAGTCCAATTAAAACTCCATATTAATTTTTTAAAAATATATAAACGAATTTTATATATATATATATATATATATATATATATATATATATATAATATGATTATAAGAAGCATTATTAACATGAATACAGTAAAAGCCAGACTAGAGCATATAAAATAAGGATGAAAAACCTAGAAATCCAAGTGGAATCACCCAGTGAGTGACTCAGTTTCATCCTGAACCTGGAGAACGCACACTGAAACCACACACACAATGGCTGAACTGCCAACAGCAGCAAGCGGAAGCTGACAGCTGGCACAGCGTGATGGCAATGCAAAGCTCTCCTACAGAAAACCTGATGGGTTCTGGGAAGCCACTGGACATCGTCCGTTAAAGATGAACACAGGCCAGACACCAGAGGACCAAGAAACTCGAGTCTACACAGACAATCCAAAGACACAGATGTTCACCAAAAGTCGTGGACTAGGTGGAATGTACTCACAGGGCTAAATGCATTTTATTTGTGCTATGGATATGCGACAGGACACCGGGAAGGAAAGAGTCACCATGACCCCACAGTACAGATGAGTCTGACGAGCTTCGTGCCGGGTAGAAGGAGCCAAAGCAAAAAGCACGCAAAATGATTTCCATTTTATATTCTATTTTCCCATTTTCCTAAACCAGACAGAATTAGTCTAGGCTGTTAAAAGTCAGGATGGTGATCATCCATGAGAAAGGTGTGGAGGGCAGGAGAGGGGCCTATCAGACACTGAAATGTCGTCTTGTGATCTGGGTGTCAGTAACATAAGGTCTGCCTAATTTGTGAAAACGTCCCAAGCTGTACATCTAAGATATGCACACTTTTCTGCCTACATATTACACTTCAGTAAAAAATGGTTTTTAAAAATTCAATGGTGTAGCCATGTGAACTGGTAAGGAACCACCAAATTATGTAAGTAAATACTTCTCCTAGACGATGAAACACACTACATTCCCCAGTGCCCCAACTCCTTTTCTACTGGACTCAAACCTTACGTGCTATTCAAAGAGCCCATTCTCTCGATATGTAAAAATATGCACACTATTTAAACAGCCTTATGCACAGAGTCTTCTGCCAAGTGTCCTTCAAGGGCACTCCCCGTCATAAACTCAGAATTTTCCAGTAGACCTCACCTCCTTCAAATACAGACCACACCTGCAAAAGCAATTTCACACCAGAGTAGCTACAGGTCTCCCAAGTCACACAGTATTGCACTGACCCTCTAATCGCCTGGTTTCAATACAAAAATCTGTATCGCGAAAGATCAGAACAGTGGAAACATAGCTTTTAAAAATGCAAAATAGGGCAATACTCTTCAGAGATCAGCTCATTCTCTTCACCACAGAGCAAATAATATATGACATGGCCAGCATTTGCATTAATTAATTTATTAGTTACTGTCGTTTAATTGATTTGTCATTTGCTACTTGAAGCTTGTATTTATTTTTCATTACAGATATTCAAAGACAAAAATATACCTCTTTCTGAAGAAAATAAATAAGTTTATGTCCAAGGACAGAATTTATAGATGCCACATTTTAATCTCCTACAGTGTCACTTAGCAGGGTCACATGACTTCTTTCCTCATTTGGGGAAAAAAATAATAATAACATTTATAAAAAGTTACTCCTGAGAAGATTGGCTTCTAGAAAAACAGCCATGACGGGTATCATCAGAGAGACTAATATTACGATTGAAAGTTTTGCTATAAATTAAACAGTAAGTATATTAACCTCAACAGTGAGTATCTCTAGGTGACCCGGCTGTACATCTTTTCCGTTTTCCATTTCAAATGATTTACTACTTTTTCAAGTTTTAGAACACTTTTCGATACTTTCGTATCTGAAAAATATATTCGTCTTCTCTAAGGAATGCCCCGCGTTTCTATTTGCCGTGCCTTGCCTTAGTTTTGACGAGATAATAATTTTCTCAATGGCAAAACAAAGATTTCAGGCCTGAAGACGAGAATTTTCCTAGAGGGAAAAATACACTGTTGTAGATCAAAAGGTCTCAATAAGTCAGAGATAATCTCCTGGAAGGCCAGACTGTTTTAAATTTCCATTGCTCTGAGGTTTAAATCGGTTTGAAAATTTTAGACATTGGTGGCCCGGAAGAGGGGTAGAAGGGGTAAGCACAGTGTTTCTTCCCTTGCTTGCTCAGGATCAGTGGGCTTGACATGGGACTGCTGTCCATTCAAAGAGCAGACTAAGAGAAACACTGCATGAGCTTCCAGCCAGGAATCCTGGGATGTGGGTGGGAACGTGGGTGGGAACGTGGGTGGGAGGGGCTTACAGGAGCTGGTCTAGCACCTACTAGCCAAGCAGGCGCTCAGGACCGATGCAGAGGATGCGTGAACACCTACTAACTAGAGGGTGCTATCTGCTGGCGTTTTGGGTCATGAGGACCAGACCTGGCATGCCTGGTGACTTATACACATCTGCATCTTGAAATCCTCACAGCACTGTGGCCTGTGTTACAGACAAAGTGGTGAGGTCCACGGAGGCCAGTGACTTAGGGTTCATGGTCACAGAAGGATTCTAACCTGGATCCTCAGGATTCTTTACTCTGAGGGAGAAGACGGGAGGCAGTCAGGGACACCACGAAACAAGCATGCCGCCACTGACATCTCCCCTGTCCCCAGGATACCCCGCTTCAAATGGTCAGTAGACAAAAAGAGATTAGTCTTACATAAAATCCTTCGGACGCTTCTGTGGGTTCAGGAAGTAGAGACGTCTTTGCTGGCAATTTGAGTTCATAAGTCATTATACTCCACCTGATGAGAGAAAATCCTTTGGTCTAAAATTTCTTTAAATCTTAATAATCTATTTCTATCTTATATATATTACATATATATACATATATTTGTGGCCTACAGTTTTAATCTATCTTGAACCAAGGATGGAACAGAGACAAAACTGTGATAATCCCATAAAACATTGGATTCACAGTTTATCATTTTCACATCCTACCATTTCTCCAGTTAGCAGCATCCAAACATGCCAACACCAGGTCAGAGCAGGAAAAGCTGGTCATCCCCTGACTTACCACCCTTTTTTAAAAGTTATTTTTATTTTGTGTTTATTGGTGTTTTGCCTGCATGTATGTCTGTGTGAGGGTGTCAGAAGTCCTGGAACTGGGGTTACAGAGAGTTGTGAGCTGCCACGTGGGTGCTGGGAATTGAACTCAGGTCCTCGGCAAGAGCAGCCAGTGCTCTCAACAGCTGAGCCATCTCTCCAGCCCCAACCTACTGCTCTTGATGCAATACGTTTTGGCTTTTTCTTTTCTCCTCTACTTTCTAAATCAGTCAAGTAGTGACTAAATTATACATTATTAATGAACCAAAGTTCTAAAGTGATGTCTTAAAGAAATGCATATTACCTATGAAAATAAACCATTTCACATTCATCGACTGCTCCTGGCAAAAGAAAATGTGAGTGAGTGAGTGTGTGTGTGTGTGTGTGTGTGTGTGTTTGTGTGCGTGTGTGTGTGTGTGTGTGTGTGTGTGTG